GCCTTGCTGGGGTAGCCCCAACGAAGGGGTTCTTCATTTTAACAAATCCCGGAGTTCTTCTTTAAAAGAGTTAGGCTTAGGTTCCACAGGTAACATTAGACAGGTCCTCTTCATAGGAAGTTCTAGAGGAGGTATCGGCGAATGTGGATTTCTTCCCTAAGGGATAAGACATCAGAGTCACGTACAGCTCTGTGCGGCATGCACGGCCGTATCGGGCAGCTCCCGGGAAGGACAGGTGCTGCGTGTGACTAGTACGGAGCCCCCGTCCTTCTCTATGGGGCTACGCTGCCGTACGCCGCCCTACGCTTACCCCAAGTGCAGGTCAGTACCGGTGCGGGTGTCCCCGTACTCGTACGATGACAGGATGGATCCTGTCTGCGTCCGAGCAGGGACACCCGCACCCGTACTGACCTGCACTTGGGGTAAGCGTAGGGCGGCGTAGCCCCATAGAGAAGGACGGGGGCTCCGTACTAGTCACACGCAGCACCTGTCCTTCCCGGGAGCTGCCCGATACGGCCGTGCATGCCGCACAGAGCTGTACGTGCCGGCCTTTTCCCGTGTGAATGAGGCCTTGAAGTGATTTCCTGTTTGCTGTTTCCCCTACCAGGAGGAGAAGAGACCTACAGGGGGTAATTTCAGTGAGACCAGCCTCCTGATGACTCTCATCGCCCTGCTCGCTGCCGGCACTGAGACCACAACCTCAACGCTGAACTTTGCCCTGGTGTTGATCAGCAATTACCCCGATGTACAAGGTACGAGGGGCTCAACCTGGACAGGAGGGAGTGGCATCATGGGACCGGGCAGCTGTGTGGCCTCCTAATCTCTTCTGTTAAAGGGATCTCAGCAACACAATTTCATTATTTTAACATTTAAGATAATATAAAGGGGATTAGTTCGCCTTAAGGGTGATTCGGCTCTGCTCCACCATGAGCCTGTGCCGTGAAGGAGCAGCAGGAAACTCATCAGATCATCTCTTTGCTCCCTGCTACTATCAGCATGTTCCTTGTCAGCACATAGGCATTCAGCGCACCTGATTGGCTTCCAGTCCTGCCCCTCCCGCTAATGCAAAACTGTACATTTGATACCATTCGGAATGTGGGCGGAGCTGCAGTAACCGGCGTCTTATATTTCAGCCAAGGTCCAGCAGGAGCTCGATGAGGTGACGGAGTCCCAACGCCAGGCCGGGATCGTGGACCGGGCACAGATGCCGTACACCAATGCCGTGGTCCATGAGATACAGAGAGTCCTAGACTTGGCACCATTGGCTCATTATCATGCTGTGACGGAGGACACCCAGTTCCGGGGGTACACTCTACCCAAGGTGAGGAATTATCAGCGGGCGACCTTTTATAGCTGCACTGTGCAGTGGCATATGGTCCATGCCCCGGATGCCACCTGAAGAAGGGGCGCTGCTCTGTGGGTCAGTGAAAGGTAACCAATTTATCCCCCATTGCTGCCGGTTATTGGCTAGGACCACCTTGACACTGAGTCCCCAGTGTCCCCCCTTTCATCAGAGGCCCCAGTGTCCTCCCTTTCATCAGAGTCCACAGTGTCCCCCCTTTCATCAGAGTCCCCAGTGTCCCCCTTTCATCAGAGTCCCCCCTTTCATCAGTCCCCAGTGTCCCCCCTTTCATCAGAGGCCCCAGTGTCCTCCCTTTCATCAGAGTCCACAGTGTCCCCCCTTTCATCAGAGTCCCCAGTGTCCCCCTTTCATCAGAGTCCCCCCTTTCATCAGTCCCCAGTGTCCCCCAAAAAAAATGCGAATTGTACGTTTACTTAATATCATGGCAAAGTTATCCAAAATATGGGTGTCAGTCTGCCATGGGCTCTATTATCTGTAGATATGCCTCTGGCACTGAGCCACCCGGTTCTAAGGGTCACTTGTTGTCTGGGAGGCTTCTTTAAAGCAGATTTCCTTACCTGATCCCCGCTCCCTCAGCAGTCGGTGCTCACCTCCCCCCACCCTTCCCCCATTCTGGCTTGTGGACTGTCTCTGTGTCCTCATGTCCAATGCGGGTCTATGGGTGCGATGACATCATCAGGCCTCGGAGCACCGGGCTGTAGGGGGGGAATAGGCTGCGGGCATTGATCTCGGAGCTGGCGGGAGTGGGCACTAGGTAAGTAAAATTGCTTGACTCCGCCCCCTCTGGGGTAAACAGTTGCCCCTTCGCAGTGTGGGGTAGCCTCGCCACAAGGGAAGGTTTTCGGCTTTCTCGGCCATTGATGAATTCATTCTCATCTACTTTCCAGGGGACCACGGTGATCCCGTTCATCTCTTCGGTGCTGTCAGACCCCAGCCAATGGGAGACCCCCCACGAGTTCAACCCGGGGCATTTCCTGGATGAGAAGGGGCAATTCCGCACAAAGACGGCATTCATGGCTTTCTCTGCGGGTGAGTGTTTATATCAGACGACCGTTCCTTCCGGAATTCGCGGTGATACATTCGGGGATTCCAGATTCATGTCTGTGCTTCAACAATGAGAAGATAGGTCCAAATAATAGTGATTTGGGGGTCACCACACATGTCCAATCTGATCCCACAATCTCTGTACAATCATTCATAGATCTACCAAAGACCGACCCCCCGCTATCCAATTAGGCCGGCCTAAAGGAGATTGTACAATCAAATTGTAACGTGTGGTGAGATCCCTAAATACAACCAATCAGCCGTTTTCCCATCCCATCCCCACACCTGACTGACATCCTCCTAAACTCTGTGTGCGCTCACCTCTCTCATGACATCATACTGACCAACAGCAATGTTCAGGGAGGCAAAGCGCAGACTGACGCTTCCGCTGCATTGGCCGGTCCAGGAGACGTCAGATGGAGGAGGAGATGTGATGAGGGTCCCGATGGCCGGCCGGTCCGGGGTCACTGCGGCCACATTGCTCTTTGTAGTCACTCTGTGAGCTCCGCAAACTGAATTAACAAGAACACCAGGAACAGGTCTGTGCGGCCCATGGTCATGTGATCACCACGGCGAGCCGACATAGGGATTAAAGAGAAAGTTTGTTACAGATTTTAAGGCTGCATTGTATGGGGGGGGAGGGGCGAGAGAGAGATGGAGGGAGAGAGAGAATGAGAGATAGGGGGAGAAGAGAGAGAGAGAATGAGAGATGGGGGAGGAGAGAGAGAGAGAGAGAGAGAGAGAGAATGAGAGATAGGGGGAGAAGAGAGAGAGAGAGAGAGAGAGAGATAGGGGGAGGAGAGAGAGAGAGAGAGAATGAGA